GTCATAGCGAGTCCGAAACCCGTCTATCTCGACGCCCTAAAACCGAGCGCGAGGAAGCTCTTGAAGAGGAAACTAGCGAGGAGGAAGAATCTGCCGAGGCAGAAGAAGCTGTAGAAGAGAAGAATAGTGAAGGAGATGCAGATGCAGCAGAGCAAACCACCGAAGAACAGGAAAGCTGCTACCGTCGTGCTACTGACGGCACTTTCCACTGTACGGTGCCGCGTTGCAATGGCGGGCCCTATAAAGATCCTTATACCGCCAAAAGACACGCGAGGAATAGGCATGGACTTGGAGAAGGTGAGATCTCGTTTCCTCTTTGTTTCATTTCGTTTCTTTCGGGGCTTGCTTCTGTTCTCCGATGTATTTTGGTCATTCGACTTGCTTTTTCCAGTCACTGTACCCTTCTGAATCATCGCTCACGGCCCTTATAGCTCCGGATGTGCGTTGCCCGATAAAAGGGTGTAGCGGCAGATTGCAGAATAGAGAATCCTGTAAGAGACATGTCGAAGCGAGACATCCTGGCAAATGGGACGGTGAGTCGGTTTTCTATTTCCTTGAACTCTTGCTTGCCCTTGGTTTCTATGTCATTATGGATTTCGTGGTCTCTGTTGTCTTTCCATTTTGTCTTGTCATTTCCTTCGCATCTCGCTTACTCTCATCTCTAGATTCTGTCGAGCTAGAATGTAAGTCGTATTTCTTCCTGAATCTGAAGGCTTGGCTGACCGGTTAACAGCGGTGATACCGAATGATCCCTACATACGTCCATTGAAGCACAGGACCCAAGGTCTGCGATCTCTTTTACTTTTAGGACACGACACTGATGTATTTTGGACAGTGATGGGGGACGTAGCAGCGACAATCTTGGCTGTTCCAAGGTCGAATACATTACCTCTTCCAAGGCCCATACCACCGACAGCCAGTGCTAGTGCTGTCACCCTGGAGATGCGCCAAGGCTTACCGCCTCATCTGCAACAGTCGACTTCTTCCTCGAATCTTGGGAATCAAACCTCTTCTTCTCATCAGTCATCGTCTTCACAGCCTTTGAATCATTACTCTTCTGGCGATCATTTGAACCAGCCGGCCCCGTCTTATTCTTCCAACCAGTCGTCTTTCGCTCATCCTTCAAACCAATACTGTCCGTCTCATCAGTCCTCGTCTTCTCATCATCGCCCAAGCGACCGAGTTCAAGAAAGGGAGCGTCAGAGAGAAAGAGAGCGAAAAGGGCGGAGAGAGACAGAGCGATCTGGTCACCAAAGCGACGAACAAAGACCTCGTCAACGAATCCGGATAGACTTTTCGCGACAGGAGGCACCGCCCAAGGAAGAACAGTGTCCGTTTCCGACGTGCAAGAAAAGGTTCACCAATGGGAGTACATTGAGAAGACATTCTCTCGGACACGGTGAGTTGATTTCTTTTGTTTGTTTCGGCGCTTCGGCGCTTCATCTTCGGTTTTTCGGACTTTCGTTTTCGGGCTTTTGGTCCTTTTGGTCTTTTTGGTCTTTCGGGCGATGTTCTGGTCTTCTTTTGGTTCATGATCTGCGCTCGAATTCTTCGTTTGGTCTACTCGGTCTCGTTTCTCGCATGTTTTCCGCTTGTGTCTATTCGTCGATGTTCTTTGTTTCTTATCGCTGACTTTTTTCATAGACTGGGACCGCTGTCTTCTCGGTGGCGATCTCTATGGTCAAGCGTCATTTTCTGATGTTACTTTGCCTCAGGCTTCTCTATCTGGTGCTGCTTTGGCTGCGAGCGAGAAGGACCAGGAAGACCAGTCACAGGACGAGCAAGACGAGTCTGGCGATTCTGATTTCGCGCATGATCCCATGATTGTACAAAATCCGGTGAATTTTGCTCCACTTGATCATGCAGACCCGGCTGACATGATTGAATCAGGTTGGGTCCAGCAAGTACAAGTGCAAAGAGATAGGATGTGATTACAGGGCGAGCAGCAAGAGCAGGCTTGAGGAGCATTTGGTATGTGAAGGCCAGTCGGAAAGGAAATGGCGCTCATGCAATCTTTCTAGCGGACTCATACTGGAGAGAAACCTTTTGAATGCGAGGAATGCAGTGTATCATTCGCAGTGGTGCAGAATTTGCGCAGACATTACAAGGTGAACATGGTCTGAGACCGTGTTACCGATTGGATACTGAATTCATGATAGAGCTGTCATCCGAATAGGCTCGCGCCACCGTTTCATCAATGTCCAGAGTGTGATATGAAGTTTTCGCGGCAAAGGGACATGAACCGACATCAGGTTAGTGCGAAACGAGATGTTAGAAGCCTGGAACTGATGTTTTTCTAGACTGAGCGGCATTCGGGCGTCACCGACGATGAGTCCGGAATTCCCGATGATGATCTTGAGAAATAGTGTAAAGGTTAAATGTTGATTGATCATCACTCGTCTCGAGGGGAAGATTCATTTGTAGCGTCACTGTCGTATCGTGCCTCACTTTTGTAATCTTAACGTACAAGTTGGAACTTCCGTACTCCGTATTCAGTGTAGTGTTATTTACCTGTATGTCTGACAAGCTTTAATTCTGTAGTAATGTAGCGGCAACGGGTTTGTTACAAATGCATTCAAGGAGTGGCGCTCAAAGTATGGGTACTACTGCATTGTGGAAATGTGTCTAGACATACAAGAAGTTTAATGTCTGTGGAGATCAGTTGACTTGGATCTATAAAAGAAAGCAATACACACCATGAGTAGCGCAGCTAGGCGTAGGGCTCGGCAGGATACGAGATGTTCCGCATTTTCAAAGTGGCCCATCCTTCTTTAAGAGCCTTCTCCCTAGCTTCAATCTTTGCGAAGTACTCGATATCCAAGCGTCTGCGCTCTTTCAACTCCTCGGCGTCCAGAACAGCCTGGATGGCGCCACAGGTGCGTCTGTGTACTTGCCACCGACTCGGGTTGTATGGAGGATACTTGGATGGACACAACATTGCACCAAGGTCTTCGATGACCGCCAGGCACTGAGCGCATTGGGCAGAATATGGCTTCACTGAACTGGTGACAACGAATCTGTCAGCCATGAGGCTTTGGCGGCGACTGCGGGAGGAAGACTTTTTGACTGGGCGGTTGGACATGATGCAGGGAATGCAGGTTTGGTTGAGATTTGGTCCCTTGCTTTCAAGCGGCTTTTATAGAAAGCTTCACGTGGGTGGGTTCCATTGTTCGGAGTCACAAATTACGCGAGGGAGTGATGCTTTTTTGGGTAACAATGGAGCCGACGTCGACACAGTAGGGAGGTTTCCTAGCGCCTTGGATGCAGCTGGATCTATTTACCCCTTTATTCACGCAATATCTGGCACCGTACAACACAGTTGGCGGCTTGAAAACTGCCAATCTTTTCACAGAGATCGCGAAAACACGCTCAAACAATGGGATCACGCCGTGGGACCCATCACATGCTGGGCTACTCACAGCCCCCGGCGCCCGATTTTCCGAAAAAATGAAAGAGAATTAATATTTTTCGCAGCTGGTGAACATATTACATTTTTTGGACGCCAAAGATTGCCAAGAGGTTTTTGTGGCCTAAATCCTATCACGGCCCCGGAAACTGGGCGTTTCCGCGTTGATCCAAATCAAATGACGACAGACTGAACACGTGCCGTCTGATATTGTTTTTGATCCATTCTTGTTCACCGGATTCGACGCAACTCGGTTCGTCCCAGTCATTCTTGGAGGAAGTCACGGTTGAGCTTGATCTGAAGGGAGACCCCGCAGTCCTTGAACGTATCGCTAGAGATGCCGCTATTACGCTCAATCTAGATGGATGAAACGAGCTCATTGAGGTTCTTCCCATTTCCATTACATATCCAAGTATCTCCTCATTCTGCTCTTCTCTATAGTGTCTATATTTCGTCTCCAGACCTGATGTATTGACTGGTTTCAACTTGTGGTTTGTACTGTGCAAGATTGTGGCGTAGTCGATCTTTATGCTGCATGCTCAATCTTTGCAGACCAACCGTCAAACAATGACTAAATGTGAAACGATGGTGCTTATCCATGCTGATCTCTCTAAGCTTTGTCAAAATCTGCCCCCTTGGTCTCTCGATTGACACCGTCTCAGTGAAAGCTCTTGAGACGTACAAGCCTAGTCAAGATTTGCAATTTGTCGTTGAGACCACTTAGCTAGTCCTGAGTATCAAGCGTCAGTAAGTGCAGAATGCAATGCCCAGGAAAATGCGAGAGCTCATTAGCTTCGACTTGATGGATCACACCTGCGACTCCAACTGAGTTGATGTTTCACGAGAAACCGCAAAGATTCCCCAAAGCGGAGAAGCCATACTTGTCTGCAGGTCCACTGGCAGCGTCGATCATATCATGGATCAGCTGCTACATACACAAACAAAGTTCGACAGCTATCAAAGGTGTAAATGTAAGTAACATATGCAAAGCAGCACCTGGTACGATGGCTGATATTCAAAGAGAAATTTTGGAAACAGACAAATGCGACCTACATTTAGCTCTCGATGAGCATTGAGTGGCTCGTGCTGGAACAGTAATAAAGGTCTTCTACTGGAGCTGATTGTCCTTTCACAGCATGGACAGTGAACCCAGATTGCGAATCAGATGTTGAGTATGCAGACCGGGACGATGTACCTGCAGAGACGGCAGCAACCAAACTTATCAATCACCCTGGATCTCATCATCAGGGAAGAGGATAACCTTGGGAGATGCCTCGGTACCTAGCAGTTTATACTTGGATTTTGTGGCGCAATCTAAAGCCGACGTTGATGCACTCAGTGGCATTGAAGTCTCGGTGTCTTAAGCTTCTAACGAGTGATTTCGAGGAGTACGCTTAGTTGCGAAGAGAAATTAGAATCTGTCCGGTAACCAAGGGAATGAGATTATAGTGAACCAGCTAACGAAGCACAGTCCAATCGAAGCGAGGAGGAACCGGGTGGGGTGACACAAAAAATCAACTGGACCCCCAGAAACAGGAGCTGGGTTGTGAATGGAGTGTTTAGCAAGCATGGGCCACATGCGTATTAAAAAAGCTGCCCACTGCCAGGATTGAACTAGCGACCTCACCATATACATCCTCGAAGCAGAACTACGAGTGGCGCGCTCTACCACTGAGCTAAACGGGCAACGGCGGTGAGCTTCTGGGTGCCCATGTGTCCGGACCGCCTATGATTTGCAGTGCAAACTGGTATCGGTGCACTGCTGACGGTTGGAGAACACAGGTACCTTTCAAGTTAAAAGATGCATCTGAAGCGAACAAGGATCTGGAGATTTATACCACATTGTTGAACCTTTCACATTTGATTCAAAAGCAAACAAAAAAATGTCTAGTTCAAGGTGCTACCAGGGTTCGAACCTGGGTTCCGGGAAAGACTGTGAAGATGACGGATCAGAATCCCGGGTGATAACCACTACACTATAGCACCAACAACCTTCCTACTTAATCTTGTGACTCCGATCCGTCGGGGTGGTCGCATATATGCTCTCATCAATTAGGAGCAAGTCCTAAGTGCGAATTATATCAGACGATACGCTCAAAGAGAGGCTTGGCTGTGATTCACATTGATCTCGCGACCTCGACGTTACTTCTGTCTGGGTCTCCGAGTCGGGGCATGTCCTGTATCAATGAAATGAAACAAAAGAATGTGATCCAAAGATGCATATCTCGATAGACATACATTGCGGTGAATCCATCCAAGCACCTCAGCACTTCATCCCAATCTCCCGTCGCTTGGACTTCACGCTGTAGTCACTTGTGTGACTTCTGATGTCACATTTGTTGAAAAACGCAGTGAGCGTTTCTGAAACTACCAAGTACCGATCAAGATCGGTAGTACCAAAGTACCACCCATGTGACCTGCCGACGGATGCCGAAGCCCCTAAAATCAGTCCCGCAAGGCCGTTGAGCATCTCAGTGGCCTTCAAGTAGCTCAGGTTGCCTACAGTTCACATGGATAATGTATGCTTTACACCTGAGTTCTCCTTTATTCTTGATTCAAGTTGATCGTGAAATAGAATGCTTTGGAATTGTGATTCAACTTCAATTATAGGCATTCATGGGACAGCAACAAGGCACCAGTGACCAATAAGGGTGTCACTGATGGACAACGATACCTGCAATGTTATATATGACACTAATCATTGTCAATATCAACACCAGGTCCTCGAGAGTACCGGAACTTTGCAGGAATCAATCTGTGGCACATGGAAACGCTCACCAGACTATCAAAACACCATGTTGAGATGATCCGAGGGCCAGGATATATGATATTCTGCATTAGATCACTCAAATTGGTCAGTAATAAGTATCGCAAGGGAAAAAGATTACTCAAGACACATGATCAGACCCCATATTTCCATTCAGTGACCATGGACACAAACTATTTAGAAGAACGGAAGTATTTCCCATGGCCAGAAGTGAGCAAAAAGTATGCAGGAAGTCATTATGAAAATGCAAAGAAGTCAGAATTGATCGCCGCGCCCACGTGTCAGGCCCAATTTGGAGCTAGAGGCCGGTCTTGAGACATAACCAAGTCAGATGAAGTCACAGTCACTGAGCGATTAAGTGATGAAGATTAACAAAGGCCCCTACTCTGGGGGGTTGGAGTAAGGGACCTACCGACATATATGCAATGTCTACCACATCTAGACTGATCTACTCCAACCTGGGAATATATGCCGTATTCCAGCTCAAAAATAGAGACCTCCTTAAATATAGCCTAACTCTTTCCCACCTACCCCACCCTGCGAATATTTTGGCCTGAAACGTGTTTTCGGAAATGGAGTTCATCTTGGAAGATGTCGCAAAGACAGAGCCTAGGAATCTCAGCTAGTGCTGTGAACTATCATGAACGAATCATCGAAGTGATCCCAAGCATTGACAATATTGAGCTCTCTCAGTACAGATCCAGAGGTTTGCAGATGAGTTTCGAGAAATCAAAGTGCAGTCATCAGCAATTCAGATACAAGTACAATATCATTTCATACACATTGAGTACAAGGAGAAGTTAGACAAGCCAATTGGTACATAGAGACATTATCCCTGAGTTGATTTTCAATAGCCGCCATGGCCTTTGTGACCACCATGGCCGTGCTGAGTATCCGGTCAGTTATATGGGCGAGATGCTGTGAGATGCGCCACTTACATGCTCATGATGTTTCTTGCCTCCCTTGCCATGTCCCTAAAAGATAAGAAGTGAGCGATAATGGTTGTGGAGCAGTCGCTTGTTAGCCCACATCCGAGGTATCCTCCTAGCAATCTAATCAGACCACTGATGGAAGAGCATGGCAGGACTTACAGTAGCTTCCTCGCGACGATATCCTCCTCCGTAACCGCCGTGCTATTATGAGATGATGAGCAAGAACGGCTATAGATGCCCGAGTCATCACTTACATGATGTCCTTTGCCGTGCTAGAGTCTTTCGTCAGCTGCGTGAAAGAGCCTCTGGGAAATACAGAACTTACATGGTCATGGTGCTTGTCTCCCTTTCCATGGCCCTGGAAAATAGAAAATTAGTGAAACTGGTTGACTGTCAGTCACTTGCTAGCCCACATCAGAGGAGTCCTCCTAGTAATCTAATCAGCCAGGATCACAAGGCATCGAGGGCACTTACAGAAGCTTCATCGCGACGATAACCGCCTCCGTGACCGTGACCGCCGTGCTATCATGGGATGAGGAGACAAGTCAAGAATCCGAATGTATAACATACATGACCTCCTTTCCCGTGCTAGAGTCCCAGATCAGATATATGGACAAATTCAGAAGAGAGATCGACTTACATGACCATGACCGTGGTGCTTCTTGTCGCCTTTTCCATGTCCCTAGAGATAAGTACTAAGTGAAACGAGTTCCAAATGAGTCAATAGCTTCGTCACTTACGTCTGAGGCATCATCCTGTGAAAGTTCCTTGTCAGAAAAGCTCGAAGGTCGTCAAAAGTACTTACAACAGCTTCTTCGCGGCGATATCCGCCTCCGTGACCGCCGTGCTGTCATAAAATTCTGGTCAAGACGAGTTGTAGAAACCGAAAAGTTTAAAACGTACGTGATGTCCTTTGCCGTGCTGGAGTACTGGATCAGATACTCATAACAATTGCAAAGGAGAGCTACTCACATGGTCATGGTGCTTGTCTCCTTTACCATGTCCCTATAGGTGATAATTGAATTAGACTAGTTGCAAGTGCGTCAATAGTTTGTTCGCCTACGTCAGAGGTATCCTCCTGCGGGAAGTACTATATCAGAGGCGGTCGAAGATTGTGGAAAGGACTTACAACAGCTTCCTCTCGTCGATATCCGCCGTGACCGTGCTATCGAGCAAACGTGAAATAGGCCGCTTTTGGAAACAAAATATGGCACTTACATGATCTCCTTTTCCATCGTGGTGACCGTGGTGACCGCCCTTGTGCCCATGTCCAGATCCCTGATGGTGTAAACGGGGCATCAGAGCTTGGAAAATGAAATTATCTTACATGACCGCCACCAAGAGCTTCCAAATCGGTCTAAACAATGGTGAGACAAAACTCAAAGAACCGCGAGAAGTCTTACATCGTCAGAGCGACGATAACCGTGACCGTGGCCATGACCACCCTTCTGTCAAAACAGTTAGCTCGCGGTTGTTGGATGTCATTTGAGACGTACATGATCATGATGGTGATCCTTGTGTCCACCCTTCTTATGACCATCCTCGACAGCGTCATCGCGCCTATCATAGCCACCATGACCGCCCTTCTGCACGCAATGGTTCAGCAAACATGAATGAGATTGACTGAAGTCTTACATGATGATGTTTTCCGTGGTCCTTGTGCTTGTGGTCGGGACCGCCGCCCTCGGAGGAGATTAGAACTCAGGAAGGTCAGATACAATTCGATGTCGACTCACGAAGTCACCAGCAGCAGTCAGCTATTCATTGGTAAGTTTCAAACAACATTCGAAGGCTGTTTAACACTTACATCGTCTCGCGGATATTTTCCACCACCATGTCCGTGTCCCTTTGACGGAAGTTAGGAATGGGAATATCAACGAAAGACTGCGTACGTGGCCCTTGTCGCCTTTGCCCTGTTGAAATTGTTAATTGAGTTGAAAAAAATGTAAAGGAGCAGCATACATGATGACCCTTGTCGCCTTTGCCATCACCGTGGCCATGGCCTTTACCCTACAAAACATAGTGAGTATAGCCGTTGGAAAAGCGAAAAGACGACTTGCATCGCCCTTTCCATGACCCAGATCATCCCGAACCATCAGGTCACCAGAGGTGAGTCCTGGGGCGGGGAGAGCATAGGCAACGACGAGGAGAGAGAATGCGAGGACTGTAGAAAAGCGCATTGCGTTGGAGCTTTGAGCTGATGAAGAATTCCTTTCGACTCACCAGCTTTTATACCTAGAGATGACGCTATGCCTCCCAACTCAGGTTTATTGGATTCCAATTCATCGTAAATTGGCTGAACGAAAGAGGTCCGCGGCGCCAAAATGAATGTGAGGCTGTTTCCCCGATTAGATTAGATTGCAATGGCTCGACCGCACTTACACCTGTTCAACCTGTCAGGTCATGGATGCTGTGATTCTGAAGTAAGTGCTCACAAATCACGACTCTAGAAGACCTGATGACGTTGTCGAGACATCCTCATGACTCCCAAGGCGCACAAGCTCCGCATTCTGACACCGACGGGCCGTGAAGGGATTCCGCTAGTGGATGACTAAGGCGCTGTTGCTGGACGACGATTCGGTCACGCAACATCACGCGGTTGCTGAATACCTATATTTTCCTAGGCCTATATGAAAAGTTGACGTTGTCCCATTGAAAGCTGACGCGTTCTATATGAAATCTGACGCACTCCAACGTTTGCGATGCAGTCATCCCTCCCCGCAGCTAGTTATTATGAGCAGGACAGAAAGAATGCAGCCATTTCTGGTCTCATTTGTGCGAAAAAATAGTCACAATAACAGCTACGACAGTCATCAGTCAATGCAACGGCAAGAGAAAGCATCCTGACCTGCTGCATGTACTTCGGCATGTTCTGGACATTGCAGTTAGTGGTAAATGTTTCACTGCAAGCTGTCACTACTCACATAACGAAAATTAATGGAAGTCCTGTGTGACAATGTCTCGCTTTAAATATAGCTCTCGTCTTGTAAATATAGATCAGGGCCATACCACAGTCGTGAAGTTCGCCTGAATCTATTTCGGATAATTCTAGGGTCAACGTTGCGATCTATTAGTTATTCCCGTCCTGCACAACCGTCAGCGCCGAGGGACTCAGAAGGATAAATGCCAGACCGATGAATCAGCGCTTGACTGAATTATACAACAAAGGCATCTGGTAACTCGTTCGCTGTACTGCGGATTAAGATATTCGGCATTGGCGTCGAGAAGGAGCCAGATTAGCCAAGGCAAGCGACACTCCATGGGCTAGCCTGGAACTTGCTAGCAAA